ATTACAAATACTTAAGTGCGGAGCTGAGATGGCTGACGAGTAAGGTTGAGTATTGTAGAAGACGGTAGGTAGTCACTGTGCCGTAGGTTTCCAGGATAGGTGATCCTGTGGTCACTTCCAAGAGTGAACTCCACTCTCATCGAACTGGAGCTGACGAAGAAGACTTGAGGAGGTGACGCAACAACCAGGATATGGAGAAGGGAAACCCCGGAGTGGTAACTAAGAGTAGTCATAATCGGGTTACGTCCCTAGATGGCGTTGCTCGTGGTGCTGGGTAGGTAGATCAGGACAATAGATGGTGTGGTTCGTAGTGCTGGGTAGGTAGATCATGACAATTGGTGGCGTGGTTCGTAACAATATACTACACAACCAGGCCAATTGGCCGTGACTTGTGACATCAGCCTTTGAAAGGTAGCAGGGGCATTGCAAAGCCCGAAAGGCATAACATTAAATTTATAGGTTGTAGCGTACTGTAATGTGGCCAGTAGACAATTCTCTTTAGATGTCTATTTTCTCTTTGTATGGCCACACAAATGTACGTACATGTAGATATCTCACACTCAGGAATGAGGTAGAATAGAAACTCACGATGTGTTTTCTGTATATATATTGTTGTACAGAGCAGTGCTAAGGAGTTACTAGGTGAGGAGTAGCTTGCTCAGAGTTCCTGTAGGGCGAGGAGCTCTCTGAGGAAGCTGGGTGGTGAGGTGCTGGAGAGAGATCTTGCTGGTCCTGTAGGTCAGAGTAGAATGGTCTCCCTGGCCAGCCATGGCCGTATTTATACAATTTACGAGGATCAAGATTTGGGGTGGGCGTTGCAAGAGGGCCAATCACAGAGGAGGAGGCCAGGCACACCCGGCACTCTGGTCCTAGCGTTGCTACGTGTGCGTCCGCACTGGAGACTAGGTCTACCGGCACCGCTGGCTGTAAGCTGATTGGCTGGTAGGCGCGCGGGAGCTCAGTCGTCCCTTGTAGGGGATGGAGTCCACTACAATACTCCCCTTCCCCTCCGGGCGCGGCGGGAGGCTGGAGGTTGACAGGGTTGTGTCCCACAAGGGACACATAACGGGCAGGTATACGTACCACTCACCACTACGGGTGACGACTCCGTCTAGTGACACAAAACCTGTGGGAGAATCAGGGGGAGGAGGATTTTGGATTAGAGGAGGTTGTACAGGCAATGGTTGTTGTGGTCCTGTCACAGCAGGGGCAACGTCACTGGCTGGGTAGATTGGGTCATGGGCAGGGGCCATGGCAGCAACAGGGTCCACGACAACAGCAGGGTGCAGGACAGGAGGAGTGAGTACCTGAGGGTGGAAAGGGGGTGCCCAGAAATGTTGTGGGCAGGGTCTGGCTGGGTTGACTGGGTCAGGAGGCGGGGTCACATCAGGAGGAGGGTCCATGACAGCAACAGGGTCGATGACGGCAGCAGGGTCCACGTCAGGAGGAGGGTACATAACAGCATTGGGGTCCACGTCGGTAGCAGGGTCCACGTCAGGAGGAGGGTCCACAACAGGAGCAATAGGAACCTGAGGGTGGAAATAGGGTGCCCAGAAATGTCGTGGGCGGGGTCTGGCTGGGTCAGGAGGATGGTCCATGACAGCAACAGGGTCCACGACGGCAGCAGGGTCCATGACAGCAGCAGGGTCCACGTCAGGAGGAGGGTCCACGACAGGAGCAGTAGGTACCTGAGGGTGGAAATAGGGTGCCTAGAAATGTTGTGGGTGGAGTATTGCTGCAGGTGGTAACTGCGGGTAGACTGGTGCAGGTGTAGTTCGCGCAGGTGGTAACTGTGGGTAGACTGGTGCAGGTGTAGTTCGCGCAGGTGGTAACTGCGGGTAGACTGGTGCAGGTGTAGTTCATGGGGGGTGCTGCTGGGCTGGGGACCCAACGGGTAAGGTGGCCGGTTTGACTCGGTCTATGCTGACGGTGTCATGTCTGCCATTCAGGATAATCATCAGGAACTTCGCTGAACGGGGAACAACCTGGAAGGGTCCATCGTAGGGGCGTTGTAGAGGGTTGTGGTGAGCATCATGCATCATGCCTGAAGAAAACATACTCGGCAGTGAGTAGTGCAGGAGAGATGTGTTGAGGGCGCCGAGGAGGCTGGCGTGGAGAAGTGGCTCTGAATGCAGAAACTGCTTGTCGCAGTTTTTGGAGTAAGTCGTGATGAACGGCAGGAGTGGGTTGGCGGAGGTCAGGAGGGAGTGAGAAATCTCCGGGTAGGCGAAGGGGCTCGCCTAGTGTGATATCTGCTGGGCTACAGTCCATGTCCTCCTTGTGTGATGCACGGATGCCGAGGAGCACTAAAGGCAACGCATCCTCCCAGCTGTAAGGGTCGTGCTGTGCCTTGAGTGCGTTCTTGAGCTGCCGGTGAAACCGCTCTACCATGCCGTTGGATTGAGGGTAGTATGCGGTAGTGCGTTGTCTAGAAGTACCGAGGAACTGTAGGAGGTCCTGCCAGAGTTGTGACTCAAACTGGGCTCCTCGGTCAGTGATGACGGTTGCAGGGGGGCCGAAACGGGAAACCCAACCGGACATGAAGGCGCGGACGGCAGACTCTGCTGTAGCATTGGGCATGGGAATAGCTTCTGTCCACCTGGTGAAACGGTCGATGCAGGTGAAGATGTAGGTGCTACCGTAGGATGATGGAAGCGGTCCCACGATGTCGAGGTGTACTACTTGGAAACGTCCTGTGGGAATAGGGAAGGTTTCTAAGGGGGCCCGTATGTGACGATGTATTTTGGAGGACTGGCAGGCCACGCACTGGGCAGCCCATTACTTAGTATCAGACTTGATGCCGGGCCAGACGACACGTTGCGTGAGGAGGCGCTGGGAGGCCTGCACACCTGGGTGGCTGAGACCATGGATGCGGTCAAAAACAGCGCGGCGGTGGACGTGAGGCACGAATGGTCTAGGCTGCCCACAGGATACGTCGCACCACAATTTTATGTTCGTGCCAGGAACAGGGAGTTCTTGGAGTGTGAGGCCTGAGGGGGATGTCTTGTATGCTGCCAGGTCTTCATCGTTCTCTTGAGCCGCGGCGAGCTGCCCATAATCAATGGGTGGAGATGAGGGAAGAATGTTGGATATACAATGAGAGAGGGCGTCGGCGATCTTGTTGTGGCTGCCTTTAATGTGTTGGACATCGCTGGAGAACTCCGAGATGTAAGCCAAGTGGCGCAGGACACGAGGTGTATGTGACTGGGAAGCTGAAGCAAAGGCGTGGACGAGGGGCTTGTGATCAGTGAAGACGGTGAACTGACGGGCCTCAAGGAAGTGCTGGAAATGTTTGACAGCCAGGTATATGGCCAGGAGTTCTCGATCAAAGGCGCTGTACTTGAGGTGTGGTGGTTGAAGCTGTTGTGAGAAGAAGGCAATGGGCATGAGAATTCCGTTGATCTCCTGCTATAAGACAGTGCCCACTGCAGTAGAAGAAGCGTCTGTTGTGAGAGTGGTCCGGGCGTTAGGTGCGGGGTGGGCCAGGAGGGTGAGGCGTGTGATGTGCTGTTTCATAGTGGTGAATGCCGTAACAGCCTCTTGAGTCCACACGAGAGGCTTGTGAGACTTCTTTGGGAGTCCCTTGAGAAGGTCGTAGAGGGGGACTAGGACGGTGGCAGCTTTGTCAATGAAGCGGTGGTAGTAGTTGACTAAACCCAGGAATTCTCGGAGTTTCTTCGCCGTTTCAGGTTTGGGGAACTCCCTAATCGCAGTTATCTTCTGTGGTAGGGGTTGTATGCCACTGGGCGAGACTCTGTGACCAAGGAAATCGATGGCGGAGGCTCCAAAGACGCACTTAGCAGGATGAACTTTCATGTTGTTGTTCTGCAGGCGTTGGAGAAGGAGTTGTAGGTGGTGGTGGTGCTCAGCAGGCGTCGAAGATGCGACGAGGATATCGTCAATGTAGACGGTGACAAAATTGAGGTCGCGAAGCATATGGTCCATGTACCTCTGGAAAGTCTGTGCTGCATTGCGTAGGCCAAAACTCTTGAAAGTATACTCGAAGAGTCCGAACGGAGTGGTGATGGCTGTCTTCTGGGTATCCGCAGGTGCTACTGGGATCTGGTGGAAGGCACGCTCCAAGTCGATCTTCGAGAAGATAGTCTTGCCATGAAGTTTGTGGTGGAAGTCCTGGACATGCGGAATAGGGTACCTGTCAGGTTTGGTGACGAGGTTCAGGGCTCTGTAGTCGCCACACACCCTCCACTCGCCGGGTGTTTGGTTAGGAACCATGTGAAGAGGCGATGCCCAGGGACTCTTTGAAGGTCGAATGATGCCGTCTTGCAGTAGTTTATTGAATTCTGCTTTGGCAGTGTTCAGGAGCTCAGGGCGCAGGCGGCGAGGGCGTGAGAAGACTGGTGGTCCTTCGGTTTCGATGTGGTGGAAAATTCCCGACGTAGGTGGTGGGGGTAGAGAAACTCGGGGTGAGAAAAGCTCCTTGAATTCGTCGAGCAGGGAGGAGAACTCGTTGGAAGGCGCGAGACAGGTGATAGTGTCGGTGTGTTTGGCACGAGAACCCTGGATCTTGCGTGCTGTAGGCTCATGGATGAGGCATAGATGGCTTGGGTCGACGCCGAGCTTGTGGAAGGTAAGGAAGTCGAAGCCAAGAATGGGTTGAGACACGTCTGCGATCACGAATAACCAACGCATAGTCTTGGGCAGACCGAGGTCTAAGGCGAGGGTGCGTACACAGTAGGAGGCGATGGGGGTACCGTTGGCAGCGAACAGGTCATAAGAGGGTTGCTTTGACGTGTATTGTAGTGAGGGAGGAATAATGCTGACCGATGAACCTGTGTCGACGAGGAATTTCGTGCCGGAGGTGCGGTCGGTGATGTGCAGTAGTGAGACGCCTAAAGGAACAGGGGCTGAGTCGTCTACCAATCCTCGTTGTTGCCGTTTCCCGGGTAGGTGCAGTGGGGCTCACAGTGTTGAGCATTGGCGCCGAAACGTCTGTGATACCAGCATAGGGTAGATCCGTTGTACTGGGGGCTGGCGGCGGTTTACGGGGCAGGAAATGCGCGTCGGGGATTGTAGGGCGTGGTGCGTGAGCCAGGAACAGGCCCAGTAGCAGGCGTGGGATTGTAGGGCGCAGTGCATGAGCCAGGAGCAGGCCCAGCAGCAGGCATGGGATTGTAGGGCGTGGTGCGTGAGTCAGGAACAGGCCCAGCAGCAGGCCTGGAGAAGGAGAACTGTTCAATGGTGTCCATCCTGCGGTTCAAAGTCTGCAACAGGTCCTTTATGTCTTGTGAGGTATTGCTCGGCTGATGGTTGATGACCCGGCTTACAAGTTCTGGGGTAAGTACTGGTGTGGTCGTTGGGTTGTTCGCAGCAGCGAGACCTGCAGTAGCGCAATCACTGAATATCCTGTCTGCCGAGGGTGCGTAGAGTTCTGGTGTCGCAGAGTAATCTACTGCAGACTGGGTGACGCGCACCATTGTGGGGAGCTTCTGTGCATGAAGTTGGCGCAGGATAGAGTCGGGGAGTCTGTCTGTGTGACGGGAGTTCAGCCGACACATCTCCTCCCAGAGACGTCCTGGGGTTGAGTTTCCGAGGGAGATAGAGGATAGGTCTTGCAGGAGATTGGGGCTGGTCTGTTGATAACGCGTCCTCAAGGCATCCCGCAGGTTAGCGAATTTGTTGACAACTGGAGGGTTGGCAATGGTCTGTGAGACCTGCGTGGCGACTTCCGTGGGCAAGGCACAGAGCAGGGCGCCGTACTTTTGCTCGTCAGTTGCTTGTGAGCCGACGAGGGCTGCTTCCACAAGTTCCACATGAACTAACCAGTCCTCGACGTTGTGGTTGAAAGGTGGTAGATAGATCGGTCCGTCCATTCTTGCGGAAGTGAGTCAAACCTGTTAGGGAAGGATGAGGGATGGGAGCTTGTTCCGATCCCCTTCCGTGTTCACAATCTCCAGGGAGGGAGGTGAACAGTTGCAGGGGGGACTTCGGGACGAATACACTTTTTAGGGTGCAGGTCCTTAGGCCAGAACTAAAAAAACAAAAGAAAAATAGGAGAGTAGGCAAAAAGAGCTCAAACCACGTTTGGAATCTGGCCAACATAAAAAAAAATTCTCATGGTTCTGGATCAAAACAGTCTGATTCTAGTGTAATTGTATGTGCTGAACTCAATTATGACATTCGTATAGCTGTATCAGGCTCAGTTTTCCAGAACCAGCATATCTATATATTTAGTGTACCATGCTATTCATACAGTAATTTATATGCTCATTGGCTCCACTTATGCAATTATTTTTTCCAGATTTGTGCTTTTTTGTTTGTTTCAGTTTGCTGATTCATGATATTGCATATCTACACCTGCATGATTTGTAATTACTCTGAAATTAACAAAACATGGAACGTCGCAAGTGTGTGAACGGTGCTGACAGTTTTTGCTACATATGTGGTGCCTTCACTCCTGGTAGCCTCAAGAAACCAATCACAAAAGCTGTTCGACTGAACTACAAAAGTTACTTTAAATGTCATTTGGGTGACCAAGACAAGAAATGGGCACCTCATGTAGCCTGTAAGTCTTGTGTTAACCACCTGAGCGAGTGGATGTGTGGTAAACGAAGTTCAGGAATGCCGTTTGCTGTACCAATGATATGGCGTGAACCTAAAGACCACAGTAGTGACTGCTACTTCTGTCTCACAAATATTAAGGGAATAAAAATCAAGACACGAGGCAAGGTACAGTACCCCAATATTGCTTCTGCAATCCGACCAGTACCGCACAATGCTGAACTTCCAGTCCCAAATCCACCGACTGAATAAGAATTGAGTGATTCCGATTCTATGTCTACCTCAATGGAAAACGACTTCCAGGATGACTCTGAAAATACCAGGCCTAAACTATTTACTCAAGAAGCGCTTCATGATCTCATCAGGGACCTAAACTTGTCAAAAGAAAAGGCTGAAGTTTTGGGATCAGACTAAAGCAGCGTAACCTGCTAGAAGATGGAGTGCATATCACTACAGCGCGTTACCGACATAGACAGCTGTCTGCATTTTTCAAGATGGCAATCAACCTTTGTTATTGCGAGGACGCAGTATCTCTCATGCAACAACTCTGCAAGTCTGAAACATACAAGACAGAGGATTGGAGGCTGTTTATAGACTCAGGAAAAGACTCTCTGAAAGCTGTTCTTTTACACAATGGCAATCGGCTTCCATCTGTCCCAATAGCACATGCAACAAAAATGACTGAGAGCTATGAAACAATGAAAATTCTGTTGGCCGCTATAGAGTATGAGAAACACCAGTGGAAGATATGTGGCGATCTCAAAGTCATCAGTTTACTACTGGGCCTTCAGAGTGGCTACACAAAGCACATGTGCTTTTTGTGCTTGTGGAACAGCAGAGCTGATGCACAGCACTATGTGAGAAAGGATTGGCCGACAAGACCAAGAGATGCGCCTGGAAGGTTTAACTGTGCTCACAATCCGCTTGTAGATCCAGAAAAGATATTTTTGCCTCCACTGCATCTAAAGCTCGGTTTGGCTAAAAATTTCATCAAAGCTATGGATCAATTCGGTGCTGGGACTCTATACTTATCTCAGAAACTAGGTGGTGTGGTTTCCGAAGCCAAGTTGAAAGCAGGTGTCTTGAATGGACCACAAATTCGTATACTAGTTAATGATAGCGAATTCACCAAAACATTGAACCCACTGGAGAAAAAAGCATGGGAATCATTTGTCAATGTGTCAAAGAATTTTCTTGGAAACTATAGTGCTGACAACTACAAAGAAATCGTAACAACCATGCTTCAGAATTATCATGCATTGGGAGCAAGGATGTCCTTGAAATTGCATTTTTTCCACTCTCATATTGAATTTTTCCCAGGTAACCTTGGAGACGTTAGTGATGAACACGGCGAAAGATTTCATCAAGATATCGCCATAATGGAGAGCAGATATCAGGGACAATTGAGTCCTAACATGATGGGCGACTATTGCTGGACACTGCAACGAGAAGAGAGCAAGCTGTACAAGAGAAAGAGTAAAGTTCAGAAGCACTTTTAGAACTTCATATTTTGTCATTATAAAGGATTTGAACTTATGTTTTTTGGTACAATTTTTTATGAGCTTATCTGTGATAGGTTTAAAATTGTATCTTGCATGACGCGATAATGTTACTATATTTACTATTTTTTTTATTCTTTAAGAAAGTAGGTCTGATGGTAGAATGAAACATCCAATTAATATTCATTAATATGAAATTAGTCATGAAAGCACAGTCACATGAGATAATCTCATCTTTTGCACGACACGTGATGGAATATTAAATATTTGTACCTATTGATTTTTTTATAAAACCTGGTCTGATAGAACAAAACAAATATCAGATTCGAATTCAGCAATATGAAATTAGTTGTGTGAGCATGATCTCATATGTGAACCATTTTGGCTGTTGACCAGTGATATCGCACAATAGTTGCTCTCCAGCTGTGATGTGGGTCACTCACATCGCCAGTGGGGAGAACAGACTAATGCATTATAAACCTTACGGTTGTGAGATGTGAAGTAGCAGGTAGGGCGGTTGGCCCGGGCTGGCAGCAAGCAGCGATCCTCACAGCTCCGGTAGTAAGCAGCAGCAGAGGGAGTGTGGTGTTCACAGCTCCGGTAGTGAGGCAGCAGCAGCAGAGGGAGTGTGGTGTTCACAGCTCCTCCGCGCCAGCCGTGCGGCTGCCGCTCCCGCCAGCGACCTTGGCGTCCCTCAAGCCGCGTGCCCTCACTCTGGGCACCCTCACCACCCAGCTCTCTCTACTCAATGCTTATTACCATGCTACATACCCAGCAACAAGCTGCATTGTACATCCAATACAATATGTATACAGTGAGCACATTGTGAGTTTCCTTTCTCCATCCCATCCTGAGTGTGAACCAATATCTCGTACCCCCACAAGGTCTTACCTAATGTCACAAAACTGGAGATGTCTTTAACACAACGGGTCAATGGTACTTGCCAAAACCCTCGAAGGCAATCAATCTTAGAGAGGAACTTGGCGTTCCCGATTGCTTTGATGCAGTCGTCGGCTCTTGGTAGAGGGAATGCTGTCCTTGCTGGTGACGGAGTTGACCTTGCGGAAGTTGATGCAGAATCGAAGAGTGCCATCCTTCGGTACTAGAGTGACTGGTGAGCACCACTCACATGGCAGTGGTACAGCCAGGCCTGTCTTGGAAGGCAAGAGGATGTTGTTGGATGACGGCCAGCACGTCAGCTCTCTGGTGTCCCGGTGGACGCTGTAGCTTCTCCTGCAACTCCACGGAGTTGGACTGCCAAACCCTGACTGATGACAGGGCGAGCGGACTTGCCCCTTCTTTTTCCTCGTCTTTCTCACCGTCTACCAAGAAAGTGTCAACGGCACACACGAGAACTGGATCATCAGCAACAAATGGGGGCGCTGGGCGTGTGTGGTACAGCTTGATGGTGTTGACGTGACATAAGTGCTGTAGTCGCCGCCTGTCAGGGGTAGAGATAATATAATTCGTGGGGCTTACCTTCTTCACCACTCTATATGGCCCACTGAACTTCACATGGAGCGGCTGTCCATGTCTCAGCAAGAGAATGAGTACTTGATTTCCTATCTGGAACTCTCTGTGTCTGGCACACTTGTCGTACCATGTCTTGGTCTTGGACGGCGACTGCTGTAAGTGGTCTGCGGCAAGGCTCCAACATCTTAGAAGCTTCTCTCTAACATCTCTTACTAAACTTAATACGCTTATGTTCTCTTCACTACTACCTAACAATGAACTATTCCCAACTCTGTTAGGGCTTCCTTGAAAACTTTTCCTACAAAATATGAAGCACCGTCCGTTTGAACACGGTACGGCAACCCAAAGTGACTAAATAGGTCAAGCAAACATTTAACAAGGGCCTTAGCAGTAACTTTCCTAAGAGGTACAGCATGCAATTACCTAGTGGAGGTATCAATGACTGTAAATAAATATTCAAACCCACTAGAAGTTTTTAGGCAGAGGGCCTACAATATCACACTGTACTGTTGTAAAGGGCTCAGGTACGTGAGGTACTCTTACAAGTGGAAAAGGTGGAATAGCCTGATTGGCTTTGCCTACCATTTGACAAAAATGACAATACTTACAATATTTAGTGATATCTCTCCTCATACCTGGCCAATAGAACTTTCTGGCCAGCCTGTTGAACGTCTTTCGGACACCTTGATGTCCAGAAAAGCGACCGTCATGGGCCAGAGCTAGAACATGTTGTCTGTAAGTGTGTGGGAGAACTATTTGAGTGATAGACGCCCAGTCCGCGTCTTCCTCTGACATAGTCGGTGGGAGCCAGCGGCGGCACAAAACACTGTCTTGACTGAAATATCTCATGGTAGGGCCTGAATCATTGGCAGATATCGGACACCCGGTCAAACAAGAGCCGTAATGAATCGTCTTGCTCTTGCGCAGCTATTAAAGCAACTCTCCCGGTCACAACATTAACTGCGGAAGAAATGTCTTGGGAAGCAATTGGGTTAGCAAACAGTCCATCTAAGGAAAGTGAATCGTCTACATCAGGAGCTACATTATGATCATTAGTCATTGACATAAAACGAGTCACAGCACACAAAGAGAAAACACCGGGCATATCATCTTCAAGCTGTTGCAGCAAATCGTTACCGAGTATCATACTCTAGCAACAAGGAGACTTGACACGTACTAAAACAGGCAGCTCGTGCACACCGGCTACGTTTAGCTATACCTGAAAAACCAAAGGAGCTGCACCTTTACCCCAAAGGGAGCCCAAAACGACGTTTTGTCAGTCTTCCTCGCCGCAACAACACCCTCGTTGATGAGAGTTTGGAGACAACCCGAGTCTCTCAAAATAGTGACTGGTGTTTCGACACCATCAACTTCTACCGTGCCTTGTGACAAAATGGGACGAAAGGTACCAACGTCTGGGTCCTTCGCAAAATTGAGTACTCATTGTAAGTGTTAAGATTAGACTAATTACATAGCCATGATTATTATGTAAATATATATTGGATTAAACATTTATGTAGGAGTGCCTATGTATGACTTATTTGAAATACTAAATGAATTGTATTTAACAGGTTTGACCGAATTATAATGTTTGTGTACAACGTCAGAAGTCTTATTCAACCTTTAACCGCCAGGACGGCGGTTACAGTCAAACATGATTGTCTACTGTGTAGCGGTGTGTTAGCTTGAATCGACGCGCGGGCAGCAGAGTAACCAAGGTCAACTCAACACAACCCACTGGAGGGATGCGCGTGAGTGTGTGCATGCACGCACGTGTGTTCCCAGTGCCACCGAGTACAGTGCAACACCCGTAGATTTATAGCGGCGATAATATTTAAACCTTTCTGTTATTGAAGAAAATAATGTTGTCAGAGTGAGCTCAGTCACTCTTAGTGTAGCTTGGCTCACCAACACGCGTCACTCGAGGGACGAGTGCGTGCGTGTGGGTGTGTATATGTGCGTATCCAGTGGCGAGAAGTGCAGTGCAACGTCCGTATACTTCTCGCATCGATAATAGTTAAACCTTGTTAGTCCAGAAACTAGTCTTGTCTGGGTGATCTTCATCACTCCCAGTGTAGTGCATATGAGAATGAAAAAAACATGTCATTATTGTTGTCTGACGTAAGTGCAGAACACAATTAGCAGTCATAGTTAACTTAAGTGATATTGCTTTGTAAATAACCCAAATATCAATGTAAAGTTTGTAATGATATCAGGTGCGAGTGTAAGACGAGGCACACGAACGTGCCCTGATAAATGAGTACAAGTCAAGGCACACGAACGTGCCATGATAATTTTAGTGAGACAAGGCACACGAACGTGCCCTGATTTAAGAGTGGTGGAAACGAACGCAATTCAAATTACCTGAATAAGCAAGATGTCGGAGATTGGGTATATTGATGACATGGAAGGAGAGTCGGACCTAGATGGAAGCAAACATTTTGACCTAATGACAATGGATCCGCCCACCGAGGTACAATCAGAGAGTGGTGAAACAGGAAATGAGCTTGCAATACCAGGAGATCCATGGGAAGGTCACAGTAGGGAATTGGAGTATCAACAAGCAGTGGCCAGAGCTGAGGCAGCGTCGGATGAAGTAAACCGAGCCCTGCGAGAGCTTAAGGCAGGGTGGATGAAAACGATGCACACTGGAATGGTGGCGGGTCAAGAGACATCAGCACTAACTCGAAGAAGTGACAGCTCACAGCCTTCGACAGAGAACTCCAGCAATTATGAGAAACCAATAGTACGGGAAGAAACTCAGCGACAGACATTGGTCAGTGTCGAGAAAATGGCATCGTCTTTACCGCCAATGCTTGCAAACAAAGCGCCTCAAGTCACAATTATGCATCCACAGGAAGAATCAGGGAAGGGTGAAAAAATAAGAGAGTTAGTGGCTACTATGCGCATGCAGCAAGCCACCCTCCCCAAGTTTAAAGGACAAGGTCGAGCGGAGTTTTGGACCTTTATGCATGCCTTCCATCGATACATGACAAATGCGGCCGTGCCAGAGAAGTACAAGTACCAACTGCTCATGGATGCTTGTGAAGAAGAGTTACATCAAGCAATCATGGGATGCGACTATCTAGAGCCAGACCGAGCCTACAACAAGGCAATCAAGATCCTGGAGGCAAGGTTTGGAGATTAGTATGCATATGCGGACCAGCTGGTGAAAAGGCTCATAGACGCTCGCTCAGTGGGGGCGTTCGACGACGAAGGGCTGCGAAAACTGGCATCTCAGCTATGGGGTGCAGTAAGCCATCTGGAGAATCTGAACTTGATGTCTGAACTTGAATCAAGGCAGACCTTCAGAACGCTGGTGATTAAGCTTCCCCCCAAATTGAGGGAACGCTGTGTGGATGATGTACGGAATTATCAGAAGTCGACAGGACACAGAACGGGGCTGGTGAAATGGTTAGCGCTATATTTGGAGGAGAAAGCGGTGACGATGGATGACATGGCTCTGCTATCAAGCGAGGACAGTCAAGAAGGAAGTAAGAAAAGACCAGAAGGATCATCATCAAGCAAACGTGCCGTGGGCCTAGTGACTATCAGTGAAGCGAAAAGCAATGGAGGAGAAACAAGCGGAAAAGGCTCATGCCCAGTGTGTTCCAGAGCACATGGATTAGCAGGATGCGACAAATTCCGGAGCATGTCAGTGAGGGAGAGGTTAGAGAGGGTAAAAAGATTACGTTGCTGTTTCTTGTGTCTGAGAGTGGGCCACCTTGTTGCTGAGTGTTGGTCACGCTTCAAGTGTGGCACTGATGGGTGCAAAGAGAAGCATTCTAGAATGTTGCATCAAGAACAAAGGGAGGCACTTACTGCAAGTGTGTCAAACACAAGCAAGGGTGGCGTAAAGCGAAATTTTCAAGGTCTCGTGAAACAGGAGTCAATGGCAGGCACCTCTGATGGTGGCATGGCCCAGAAAGCCAACGACAGTTCGTACATGGCTGTAAAAATAGGCCATGTCTATGCTACAGGGACAAAGAACGGCCATGAAAACCCATACAGCTGCGAAAGCGGCATCTGACTATCGACGAAAAATGCCAAGATTGTACTGCCCATAGTGAGTGTGAAGATTCGGGGAAAGGACTCACACCAACGAAATCACATCAGAACTTTAGCTCTCTTGGACTCGGGCAGCGACAGGTCGTATTGCACCAAAGATCTGGCACAGAAACTAAGGGTGAAATGGACACCTACCCTGGTAACCATGGGTACACTTGCCCAAGAGGTGATACTCGAGTCAGCGGAGGTAGATCTAGAAGTGGTTGGCGCAGGCATGAAACGAGGCAGAACCATACTTATGCCGAAAGTACTCATTATACAAAATTTCCCCACAATGCTGCACAACTCCGTAGCGAACACAAGTGATATCTCAAGGTGGACCCATCTGCGAGGTGTGGAATTACCAGAATTGCAGAGCAACAGCATAGAAATTCTGATAGGACAAGATGTGCCACAGGTCCTGGTACCCTTGGAGGTCAGAGCAGGAAGGGATGGAATGTCATTTCGCCATAAAAACTCGACTGGGTTGGACAGTAAATGGACCGGTGGGGCACCAAGACGCACAAGGAGTTTGCATGTCAGGATGCCTGATGACCGAAACTGTCGTGAGTCCTGAAACCCGTCTGGAAAGACACGTTAAGCTTTTTTGGGAGCTGGAAAGTGGGGACACAGGAGCCTTGCAGTCAGCAGCTCATTCACTTGAGGACAAAAGAGTGTTGAGGCTATGGTCAGAGACAGGCATCAAAACTAATGGTCATTACCAATTTCCCATACCGTTCCGTAATGAGAACACGGAACTCCCAAACAACAAGGCCATGGAGGAGCGTCGACTAGATGGGCTTCGAAGGAGACTATCCAAGGACGCACGGCTGCGACAAGGATACGTAGAGGAAATAAATAAACTGCTTGCTGAAGGATATGCTGAATCAGTGCCTAAGTGCCAGTTGGAGTCAGATACTGGACTGGTCTGGTATCTACCTCATCACCCGGTGTTGAACCCAAATAAGCCAAACAAAGTACGCATAGTTTTTGACTGTGCAGCCAAACACAAAAGGACATCGCTGAACAACCAGGTATTACAAGGTCCAGACTTCAACAACAAATTACTTGGAGTCCTGTTTAGGTTTCGCCAAGGAACTACAGCCATCATGGCAGATGTGGAGGCTATGTACCATCAAATCCATGTAGCGCCAGAACATCGAGATGCGTTAAGATTCCTCTGGTGGGAGAATGGGGACCTGAGTAGAGAGCCAGTAACTTAAAGGATGAAGGTGCACATCTTTGGTGGGGTGTGGAGCCCTTCATGTGCAACTTACGCTCTCCGGCGCACATTTCAAGACCACAGATCCGAGTTTCCCGATATGGTGGCGCAAGCAGAAGTCAACTTCTATGTTGACGACCTGCTCATGTCGCTGGACTCATCAAATGAAGCATCAATGTTAGCGTGTCAGCTTCGAAGACTGTTGGCATGTGGGGATTTCGGTTAACTAAGTGGGCCAGTAATCACAAAGGAGTGTTGGCTACCATTCCACCAGAGGAGAGGCAAAATGCACTTAAGGAAATTGATCTGAGGCAAGACAAATTGCCAATGGAGCGAGCCCTGGGGGTTAGGTGGCTCCTGGAAGGTGATCATCTCGCCATCAAGGTGCAACCAAACTCAAGGCCAGCGACCAGGAGAGGAGTACTAAGTCTGGTCACTTCTATTTATGACCCACTGGGGTTCGTGGCCCCATTCATCGTCAGGGCTAAAATATTATTTCAGTGTGAATGCAGGCATCGATTAGGGTGGGACGAACCTTTGTCGGCTGTTAATCACACGACCTGGAGCACCTGGCTAGGAGAACTGGCCCACCTAGAGAAATTAAGTGAGCCCAGATGCCTGAAAACAGCATGTGCTAAAGAAATCATCTCAGCACAGTTGCACACATTCTGCGATGCATCGCAGGCTGCTTACAGTGCGGTGACCTATCTGAGAATGGTAGACTCTGGCGGAAGTATCCAGTGCTCTTTCGTGTACGAACGGGCCAAGCTGGCCCCACTCAAGCAACTGACAATACCGAGGCTGGAACTTTGTGCAGCTGTCCTGGCAGTGAATGCTGATCGAACGATTCGCCGAGAAATGACCATGACCATACATGAATCTTATTTTTGGACGGATAGCATGCTAGTCTTGCAGTATATCACCAATTCAAGCAGACAATTTCAAACGTTTGTAGCCAACAGGATAGCAGTCATACAAGAGCTGTCAAGAACTGACCAGTGGAGACATGTCGGCACATCGCTGAACCCAGCAGATGATGCAACTAGGGGATTACCTGTCCTGGACCTGGTTGCAGGATCTCGGTGGATGCGAGGTCCTGACTTTCTATTCAGTGTTGAAGAATGGTGGCCAAAGGGAAAGGAACTGCCAGCAGTTCTGAACGACTGTAGTTGCTCTGGCAGTGAGCGAGCAGTCAAAGTGGTCCCTCGCCAAACTGTGGCTCAGGTACTCATCATGGTACCGCTTGGTGAAAGGGGTGGCATGGATTAAAAGGTTCATTTGGTGGCTTGGATCCAGCACAAGGACCGCAGACCTGCGCCTCAAACTGAAGAGGCTAAGCACTGAGGAACTACAGTCGGCTGAGCAGACAATTATAAGAATGGTGCAGAAAGAGGCTTATGAGAAAGAAATCCAAACTGTCATAGAGGGTGAGCTGCCAAAGGACAATAAGCTATATAAACTGGAACCTTACTTGGACGAGCGAACGTTGCTCAGATCAAAGGGAAGAATTAAAGGAACCCTTCTTGGGCGAAGTGGTGAGGAGCCAATCTTGCTGCCTAGAGACCACCACATCACCGAAATCATAGTGCGGGAGATGCACGAAGAGAGAGCTGGACATGCCGGACGAGAACACACGATGGCGTGTGTGAGGCAAAGGTATTGGATTTCCCAGGGCAGATGCTTGCTTGATAGAGTCATACGACACTGTGTAGTGTGCCGACGGAACAACTGGAGAAGTCAGCATCAAAGGCAAGCTGACTTACCAATAGATCGTGTCACTCCTGGAAAGGCTCCATTTGCTTACACTGGAACAGACTGTTTTGGCCCATTCATTGTCAAGGTAGGGAGGAACAGGTCAAGCACTGGGGATGTCTGTTTACATGTCTAACTATTAGGGCTGTTCATCTAGAAGTCTTGGCCTCATTAGACGCAGATGCCTTCCTCAACGCAATAACAAGGTTCTCACGACACAGAGGTACACCAGAGCGTATTAGGTCGGATAATGGGACAAACATGGTACGGGCAGCCAAAGAGCTCAAACTTGCAGATCAATTTTGGAAGCGCTGGCTGACGGAGTACCTCCCTCAACTCAGAACTCGACAAGTGCATTTCAGACCACGGTGCAACTTTCGCCCTGGTGACCTAATCATTATAGCAGAAGCAAATAGTCCACGCAACAAATGTCACCTTGGTCGAGTGATGGAAGTCAAGGCTGGCGAGGATGGACTTGTACGACAGGCAGTGGTTAAGACGACGACGTCCACAATGCTGTGACCTGTGACAAAATTATGCTTGTTGGAGGGAGCAATGGAAAGGGCTGACGGAGTCGGGCAGGAGAATGAATTAGGTATCCACACATGAAGACAGTGATGTCCAAACGTCAAAGGACCGAGATGTCCTAAGGAGCTGATAAGTATTGATAGCCTGAGGGCAGCATGGTCACAAGAACGTGAAAAAAAAATTAAAGTTGAATACCAACAGCCTGAGGGCAGCATAGTCACATAAACGTGACAAAATTAAAGTTGAATACCACCAGCCTGAGGGCAGCATGGTCACAAGAACGTGACAAAGCATTAAGTATCAAAGGCCTGACTTGGTTTTGAGCGTGAACGCTCAATGGAGTGGGTGTTACCGCAAGCAGCAATGAGTAGGATGACACATAAACAAACACTAAGTCATGTCATGTTTATTGGGTGTGCCTGCCCGTATACAGTATGTAGAGTACGAAGATGGTGGAGATGAGAGGCCCAGAAGGAGGTTGGAGTGTGTGAAGGGAGTTTGTTTATGTATAATTATAATCACCTGACTCAGCCATAGCTGACCAGCCAGGGGGCCAGGCTATCGGGCGGGCATTTCAGTATAGCTACCCATATCTTAGAGGCAACACCTAACCTGGCTTCTCTCTAGACTTTCAACACGTAAGTTTGACTAGTACTTATTGTGTACACAGGTAGACTGTGTCCATTGCATCATTTATCAGTGTGACAATATAGAAATATGGCAAATTGAGTACTCATTGTAAGTGTTAAGATTAGACTAATTACATAGCCATGATTGTTATGTAAATATATATTGGATTAAACATTTATGTAGGAGTGCCTATGTATGACTTATTTGAAATACTAAATGAATTGTATTCAACAGGTTTGACCGAATTATAAGGTTCGTGTACAACATCAGAAGTCTGATTCAACCTTTAACCGCCCGGACGGCGGTTACAAAAAAATTAAATACATAAATAAATAAATAATATATAATATAAATATATAATATATAATATTATATATATATAAATATATATATATATATATATATATATATATATATATATATATATATATATATATATATATATATATATATATATATATATATATATATATATATATATATATATATATATATATATATACATATATATAGTGTGTAATATTCAGAAATTTCAGAGTAATTTCAAATGCCGCGCCATTGGCGATACTGAGCTTTCAAGGTCGTCTGAGGGAAGAGAGCGCTCCCCGCACATAGTGAGAGGTTGTGGAACTAGGCCTATATGATATTAAATATAATTTGCCGAATTAATAATGATGCGATTCATGAAGTTAAGGGACTATTATTGAATTTGGAATTATTATAGATCGTTTATCAGTCTGAATAATGTTACGGGTGTCCCAAGGAGTTATTAGTTAGGCGGAAAATATGTCACGTAGGCCTAAGCTAGCGCCTTGGAGAGACGCGACGCTGGCTGGTCCTCAGTCACGTGAAAGCGATTGGACCTACAGGACATCCCTGCGCGTCCGTCCACAGAAATAGTCACGTGGTCTAGTCACCTGTGCTGCGCTATTGCAGTATAACAAGTAAGTCTCATTCAATCTCAGACAGGGTTTAGATAGGGCAGTGATAAAGTAACTAGAGCTAACAGTGAGTTCATTTCAGGGTTTCCGCCAGAACCCACTTGACTGCGAGAGATTGACTGCCGTTTGAGACTGCCGTTGATGATTGAGGGTGGCGATTGTCGCCATTGGACCGATCAGTGTAGGCCTGTCACTGTTTAGCGGGGTATCAAAGGATCTCTTGAGGGAATCTAGCCGTCTGGGTGCCCAGCTGATGACGGGACGATCGTTGGGGTCATCAGCTCTCCTCTACCTCGGCTCACAATACCACATGTTTCAAGCAGCTTAGTGAAACCCTCTTGCTAACGGGAAGCTAAAGCTTCTCTCAACTGTACAAGGTCTGATTGGCTCACTCCCTTCCGCTTTATGGATGTACCGGGGGGGGTTAAAGTGAAGCTAGCTGAGTGATACAGGGTCGCACACTGGGGCCAAGAGTCAGTGGAGTTTAGAGGTACACTTTCCAAGGTGGAGAAAGGCTGATTTGGGCCTTCAACTACGGGTGCCTGTTGGTTGTGCCTTAAACGACTACGGAGTGCAGGTGGAATCTGTGTGTGTGTTAGGTTGGGGAGCATGGTTCACGGGTATTGGACTAAGTAACGTCTTTATAATAGTGACAATATTTTTGTGTGTAGTTAATACTATTTTTTCAGTTACTAATGTATGCTGTGTGCATTTAAAATTTCTTTATAGTTTCAATCTCAGATATAACCTTTGTTCCCCAGAGTAGTGTTTAAGTTAGGTTAGGAGGTGTGCATCTGTTGGTGTAACATAATTATATTGAGTGCCCTTAAGGCCTATTCATTGTAGAGTTAATAATTTCTTATTTTTAATACCATTTCCTTAGTGACTGATATTATTTTGTTGAAAGCCCTTAAGGCCTATTCATTGTAGAGTATTTAATTTCTTATTTTTTAATACCATTTCCTCAGTGACTGATATTATTTTGTTGAAAACCCTTAAGGCCTGCATCTGTTGGTGTAACATAATTATAATGAGTGCCCTTTAGGCCTATTCATGGTGGAATTAATAATTTCTTATTTTTATACCACTTCCGCAGTGGTGGATATTATTCTGTGAAAGCCCTTAAGGCCTGTTTCATGTGTGCAAGCAACATTTCTTAATACTTCAAATTTATTGTTGTCTGAGTTTCTAATAATTTCTATATCATGTATAACTTTTATTCCCCAGAGTAGTGTTTTAAGTTCAAGTTAAGAGGTGGGCATATTGGTGTACCATTATTTGATTGTGTTCGTAGTGTTGGAGGGAATATAAGTGTCTAAATTTTACGGTGTGTCTCATTCATCCCAGTCACAGACGCTATCCTTCCACGGGTCACGGACAATTCATTTTGTTAGAAAATTTAAGTGTTCTTCTGCTGGTTCGGGATTTTTCTCAAAGGGGCGCTTCCACTGCCATTACCATCTAACAATCTTTAATAAACCCCAAGTCAAGTGAGAAATTAAAGTCCAGTAAATTCCGACCGGTTATATATATATATATATATATATATATATATATATATATATATATATATATATATACATATGTATACATACATACATACATACATACACACATACATACACACACACACACATACACATACATACATACACACATACACACATACACACACATACATACATACATACATTATACATACATACATGCATTACATATATATATATATATATATATATATATATATATATATATTATATATATATATATATATATATATATATATATATATTATATATATATATATATATATTATTGTAAGATTGTACCATCGTACGATATGTTTTCCCATGTTGAGATGGGGGCTTGTCTTTGGCAGCGCCCGGTTGCCAGTCACCAGCTGACGCTGTTAGAATAAAGTCTACAAAGAACGTGCTCTATGACTCAAACCTCTCACATGGCGCAGTGAGTAGGATATGTCGGGGCCTGACACGCCATTACAGCCCTGACAAGAACGCTGACATGGCCCCTACACGTCCACGATTCTTGACGCCCTCAAGGGGACGCCAGGGCTTCTCTACACCGGCGGGGAACACCACGCGCGCCCAGCAGCAGGCCATGAGTGCATTGATGGCTCAGATGGCGTCTCTAGTTGCTGGCGGTGGTCATGCTTCTATGCCGGTCATGAAGCCCTCAGCAGCTGTCGCACCAGAGAAGTGTGAGGCAGAAATGCCAGCAGCTGCGTTTAGGACATGGAGGCGGTCCATGGAGTCATGGGTGCTGTTGAACGGGTGGTCACAACTGGTGGCCACACTCCACATTCGCCTGAACTGCGTCCCTGCACTCCAAAGGGTGATTGACTCGAGATATCCCAGCGGTCAGTGGGAGCAGCTCTCGCCCAAAGAAGCCCTGGACGCC